CATAATAATCATATACATTGTATATTGACAAAATAAAAATTAAAAAAAAAAAAAAGAATCTAGCAAACATGTAGAGTTCATTTTTTCTTCTTTTTCTATGTGTGAAAAAGCCCCAGTCTCTATATGATCTCTTTAACAATGGATTTCAAGCCTTTTTTCTTTCTTTTAGAAACGCAGTGAAACTTTTTTGCAAACATGCTCTTATACTGAACCTCAAAATATAAAACAGGCCTAAGTGGAACTTCCCTGGTTGACACAGGGGCAGGGGCTCACTGCTCCCTCCCACCTAAAGCTTGAAGCCGCAGCCTTCACTTTTTCTGGCCAGATACCGTGATTAAGGCAGATTCTTGTACATTACTTTGTGCCCACCATCTGTAAATCCTTACTTTCAAAAGGAGTAAGAAGTCTCTGAAGATAGGGATTGAAACAAATGTGTTGTTTTCCTTAGTAACTAGGGTGTGGGGGAGGCTTTAGTCAGACACAGAAAAAGGAAACGTTTATTTAGGTAAATTAAAATGGCTATATCACTGATATGAAATAAGCAAAGCTCAAATCAAGTCATGGAAACCTTGAAATCACTCCCTAAATAGAGCCAAAATTGCTTTTACATTACTAAAATAGCTCCACTAAAACAAAGTAGATTTACATCTCTTAAGATGAGAAAACAACAAGATAGGTTAGGTTCGTATAACAAACAATACATGCTCTATAGTCTCAGGAATACCCCAATGTGTTCTGATTTGGATATGAAAGAAGGAACCACATGTAGCTGGTGTTGGTAAGCAAAGCAATGAGGTGTGCAGCAAACAAAAGCTGTCACTAAAAACAACTCGACAGGCCATTATGAGTATGAGCCCATCACAGTCAAAATGCTCAACTGCGACCAATAGGACCAGCAAGGGGGACTGAAGCGGTTATGTCCAGCAACCGTAAAGTAAGGAAACTCCAATAGAAAGGAAAAATAGCCATCAGCAGGATAAGCAAGGTGTCCACTCTTCAGCTCTGTTGCATCAGATACATTCCTGAGTGCCAGGTACCTCTCTGCTCTTCTGATGACACTGCAGTCATCTGGAGGTGAGATACTTGCTTCTTTTGGTTCTTCTCTTTCTCTACTCCCTTTATGCCTCTCTGATTTATGGGGAGGCTCTTTAAGTAAACATTATACCAGACAGTACAAGGCAAAGGAAAAAATGACCAAGAAGCAGTGCTTTGGGTAACTTAGGAAAGCAGCAGCAGGAGCTGCCAGACTGAAAAGGTAAAAGGATTTAAAACCAAAACCAAACACATTTGTCCAGTCTTCCTATCAGAGCTGAGATGTGACAGGTGAGGCTTGACTACAGCTCAACACAGTTATAAGGTGGGGAAGTTAAAACATACACATAAAAATCCCAAATTAGCACTGAATATCAGGCTTATGGGGCTCTTTTCTTAAACCAGTGAATCTGCTCAACTCAGGACAAAGGAGTTCAAGATACCCTACTTCTGCCTGGGAGATATGGTACTTTCTCAGGCAGGACAAGGGTATTCACAGGTCTGAGAGTGCAGCATGAACATCTTTGCCAAACTTGGTAGTGGGATAAGATGGTACTATACTCTGGCTCAAGGATAATGCTAGCCAGACAAGCACAAGGTGGGAAGAATAGAAGACAAACTAAGGAAACCTGACTTCTCCACATATTGCTGTCTGATGCAAAAGAAAACAAAGAGTTAAGGTGTCCTCAAAGTAACTGCCTATGAATAAGAATTTGAAACTAAACAGGACAAGCTACATTACCCTCAAGTATATTTCACATAAATCAGTTCTCAAAAAAATACCTTCCAGGTACAGACATACTATTTAAGATACAATTTATATAAATATAGCAGTATAATTTAGTTTATTGCTAGAATTTTATTTGGTTGTTACAAAATCCGTAAGGGTGTATACGTTTTTTAAAAAAAAGGGGGGGCGGGCAGCATGGAAGGCAGAAGAGTAAGAGTTATCTTTGAGTTACCTAAAGTGCCAGGCTAAAGGCTAATTTTGTACTATTATATTTTAATCTTTCCAACAAAACGTAATAGCTCAGATGGGCAAAGGAAAGCAGTATAATTTAGTTTATTGCTAGAATTTTATTTGGTTGTTACAAAATCCGTAAGGGTGTATACGTTTTTTAAAAAAAAGGGGGGGCGGGCAGCATGGAAGGCAGAAGAGTAAGAGTTATCTTTGAGTTACCTAAAGTGCCAGGCTAAAGGCTAATTTTGTACTATTATATTTTAATCTTTCCAACAAAACGTAATAGCTCAGATGGGCAAAGGAAATGTTAAGGGTGGTGGGGGGGGGGGGGAAGGGGCGGTGGAGAAAGATGCATAAGCCATAAAGAGATAAGCAGACACATTCACGGAAAAAAGCCTTAATCTTGCTTTAACTAAATTTTAATGCTTCTAGAAAAAAAAAAAAATTAAGGTTAGCCAACACCAAGCTGAATATCACATGAAGAAAACAAAAAGCCCTTAAATGTTTAAAGGTATCCACACTGACAGGGCAACTTGGACAAAGTTAAAATGGAAATGCTCTCTACTAAAGAAGTCTGTGCCATGAAAGCTTCTCTAGTTTCTCCCTGAATTGGCCTACAGCAAAGTTAAGTTACGTAAGTTTTTTTCCTTTTGTGTTGCCCAAAGACTGCTTCTAGGAACAACGTGGCAAGTCTAGACTCAACACGGAGGTATTACTCCTTCCGTTCAGGGACCTTTCCTGCCAGGTTCACAGAAGTATTTAAAGGGAGAAGTATTGTAGCTTGTATTAGAGTTGGAAAAAACTTGGTACCATCACATGAAGGCCCCTGCTCCAAGTGTGCCTGCTATAGTTTGGTATCATCTGGACAGAACGACTCTAACTACTTCTGAGTTGATAATTGTTAGGAAACCAAATGTGATTTCACATGTTTCATTTTTGGCCTTAGTCATCCCACAGAAAAACATACCAGGTTCTCAGTTAGCCCCCAGGTAAAATCTCAAGGGATATAGTTTCCTGGGTCAAAATTAGAGACACAGCTGTTCTCTAAAGCTCTGGGTAGCCAGTCTGAGACAATGATTAAGGGACTTCAGCCCCACAATTCAAAATGGAGATGGTACTGGAGGTGGGAACCAGCTATGGCTTTAAGTGGGTTGGTGAAGGAAGACAATCTAGCTTGTTTGGGGGGTGAGGAGGGCATGTAGCTCCCACTAGATATCTTTTTATGCTCATAAACCCTGAAATAGGATTAAAATTGAGAAAAATCCCCAACAAGACTTCTCTGGTTCCCAGGTTGGGATTAGCTGAGGGAATAGGAACAAAGAACCAGAATCCTACTTTCCTGAGCCTGGAGTTGGCACTGTCCCCATGGTGTCCATTCCCTGAATCTATTCCCCCAGCCAAACCCCATGGCAGCACCTGGGCCTTCAAGGGATGCCTTAAGGAGATGTGAACACAGTTGCAGCTGCTACCCAGGATCAGATGAGCAATTTTTAATAACAAGTCATTTGTTCACATTTTGTTCAAAACCATTCTTCCTGCTTTCCACATAATATGCACAATTCTTAAATATTTACAACAGAAAAGGCCTATCTTTTAAAGAAAAGACATTTTCTGAGTCTCTATAAAGTGCAGCTAATTTAAGGCAAGTTTATGTGAAATATAAAAGGTGGCTTATTCTCTCTATATACACATTTCCCAGTTTTAAAAGATAAGGTCTCCTCCCCTCAAAAAAAGGAAAGAGGGAAAAAAAAAGGGCTTTATTTTTTTCTAGTAATTTAAAAATGTAATATCTTACTGGTTTCAGGAAATCATAGATTTCTGAAAATCATATTTTCTTTTAAAAAAATAACTTTTATATAGCTTCTTCAAACAAGTTAAAAGGTGGCAATGTGTCTGCTACAGTAGTTTGGAGGTCTGGAGGAATGATGGGTAAGTAAAAGGTTGTTTTTGTTACGTAAGTAGATATTAGGTAGTACACAGTACATATCCATTTCTAAAATATGCCTGATGAGGCTAGATACCTAAAGCTACTCTTAGCTCCAGGAATGAGTATCTTCCATCGCCATTGGAATCAAATGCTCTCAAGCTCTCTGGTTCTGGCATGGCAGAACCTAGGGAGTTCTGGATTTCCTGGTAGGTCAGCTTCCCATCCATGTCCTGGCCAGTCTTGTGGAATAAATCCTGAAGATCTGTCAAAACAGAATTACAAAAAATGTATACATATTTTTATACATACAGATAAGTTTAGTTAAATGTAGCCTCAACTGAATTTAAAACACTAGAAGAAAAGCTACTTCACAGATTTTGTTTGCAAAAGGTAAAGTTCATGATCTCACAAAATCACAAAGACTAAAAAATTTTTTTTTTTAAACAAGAGATTTTGCATTTATTTTCAGCTTTAGGAAGAACTTCCAGTAGTCTTATTTTAATACCCTTTTGGGAATAGGGTCTTAAGGATTGTTTGCATGAGTGATCTTGGATTCAGTGATCTTAGCGTAATGAAATCTAGATTTTTTGTTTTGTCTCCCCTCCTTTTATTTTAGAAAGACTAATTTTTAACCATTTAAGAATGAGAGGAATACTATATGGCACTATACCCCAAAATGGAAGCTGTGACAGTTAATCAGAGGAAAAATGAATGTACTGGCTTTCTCTCTGTCCAGGGCCTTCCCTTTAGATATTCCAGATTTTATTCTTATGTTGAAGGGATGAAAAGGAATGCAAAGGCCTAAAGAATTACTTGAGAGGAGATAGCCTGTAATACTGACTGTGGCATACTGTGAGATATCTTCCTGGATGGCTGAGTGGAGACTGGAGGAATGTCTCAGAAGTCCTTAAGAAGAAACAATCCCATCCCAAACACTGATAGTTTTCTTAGTTTTGATAGGAACAGCGAAGCTCAAAAAGGAAAGTAACCTGCCTAAGGTCACATGCTCTTAAGTGGCTAGATATGGACTAGAATACAAGTTTTCTTATTACTTCATCTGGTGCTCTTTCTACTATGTGACAATGTCTCTCTGGATCCAGAAATTAAGCAGCTCAAGAACCAGGAACTCAAAACTATGAGTTACTACTTCATAATCACCAGGATGGCTATAATCAAAAAGTGCTGGCAAGGTTGTACAGAAGAAAGTAAACCCTCACACATCACTGATGGGAACATAAAATGGTGCAGCCACTTGGAAAACAGTTTGGCAGTTCATCAAAAAGTTAAGAGTTATAGGACTTGTAGTTCGTGGCCCTTGGGGCGGGCGTGGGTCGGTATCCGGAATCCAGCGCTTCCAGGTGGGGGAGTCCACGTGGGAGTGAACTTTTAAAAGTACCCTCATAGCTTTTGGGAAGATGGCGTCGGGTCAGAGCAGCCGCGCCAGGAGACAGCGCGATCCTGTGAGCCGTGCGCTGTGATACCAGAGTATTGATTGCATTTCCAAGAGCAGCAAAAGGCAAATAAATCTTTCAACAATGATCCTACATCGACAAACAAGTGACAGCAGGTTCGAGGTTTTGGGGCCGACACTGAAGTGGTCTCCTGAGAGCGCCCAAGCCTGGCCGCGGGAACGAACGAGCGATCAGCCCAGTCATCAAAGGCACGGAAAGCCAGCAAAGGTTTCCACAAAGGCAGAGAGAAGCTCGTCAGACTGCCACAGACCCGCGACCCCGTAAGTCACCCCCAGTCCAGCCTCACTTGCGGGGCAAAGCCCGACTGCTCCCCGCCCGCCTGGCCCCCGCCCCCCACACCAGGCTAAGCGCCCACATCAAAGCGGCCTCCTTTCTCTCGGGTGGGGGTGAAAAAGAAAACGGCCGGCTTTGGGAGTGCAGGTCAGCCATCTCTGTTTGGCGCGGCTCCCCGCTGGGACGTGCTATTTGTTTACCTCGACACGGGGCACCCCGGGGCCTGTGGACTGCCCCGCAATTCCACGCTCCCCGCGGATCTCTGACGGGGCTGGTAGCGTGGGGAGCCCCCGGCCAGCGTCGGGGGGGGCTGGGAAGAGGAGCCCGCCCAGTCCGTCTCTCCGCCACACCCTGGG